CACATTAAGTATTTAGATCCAAATATCTTTTTTCTTTTTTCTTTTTTTTTTTTGAGAGGTTTTTGCTATAGGGCATGTGTGCACGCCAGAAAGAAAGAGAGAAACAGAAAGCGAGAAATCACCCCCCACAGGGAGGATGGCCACGCCGCTATCCCTTCTCCTCCATTCTCCTCTCGGGATCTTGGGCACACACGCACACATGCCTGGTGTGAGTTTAAGCCACTGGGTCCGGGACTCGAACTGTGGTCAGCTACATGTGAGTCCAGCGACATAGCCATAATGCTAACTGCTGGTTCCGAGATCCAAATATCTTTATAATGTCTTCAGATCCTAAAGACTCAGTAGCTTTAAAACAAAAACAAAAATACAACCCTACTCCTCAATGGAAAGAAAATATATTTTTTATTTCATTCTTAAATACACACAATCACTTGGGGCCAGCAGGTGACATGGTGGTTAAGGCGTTTGACTCCCACATGACCGACTATGGTTCGAGTCCCAGATCTGGTGACTTGCTTTCTCAGTTTCTCTCTCTCTCTCTCTGCCAAGCACATGTGCCCTATAGACAAATTAATAATAAATAAATAAATATTTAAAAAAATAAACATAATTACTTAATGGCATGTGCTCCTCTTAGGCACTGCATACATTCTTCAGCCTTCTCAAACTGCCACCCTTATTACCTGTTCTGCCTCGATTTTTCACGCTGAACTTACTTGTTATCACAGCAACTGTAGAGACCCCATGTCAGAGGGGATGGCGTCATTGAGAGAATGGAGGTCAACACAATGTGAAACTGTGCATGTCTCCTAGCCCGTAACCTCAGTGTCTGATAGCGGCTGGGACACCCCACTGAGCCCCTGCCGCTTTGCCGCAGTGCCTTGGGCACCTGGGCACGACATTTGCGAACAGGGCTACATAGTGTGGAATCCTGTCATGGATCCTGTTCTGGAATCCTGCCGTGAATGCCTTTGTTGCTATGGGGACATTGGTTCTGAAACCCACACAGCTAACTTATGGCATGACTGGGCACTGCCAGTTCCCCCTGCTCTCCACTCATGGGAGGTAGGATTTCTTAAATAAATGAAATCCAGAGACAAACCGAAGCTCAACAAATGCCCTCATCTCAAACAGTTTCGGGGTTCGTAAACTTCCTCCTCCTTTCTCTGAAGAAGAAAAGGAACACCGTGATGCAGTGGGGCAGGGGACCAAGTGGAAGCAGGGTTTGGTCTGCAGCTGCCACTTGGGGACCAGTCCCAGAGCACTTGAGCCCTGCCTGCATACTCGCAAGTGAAATGAGCTGTCCCTGCAACATAATCTCGGCATCCAGCATGCACCACAGCCGGCGAGCCTCCTCTGGCTAGTGTCTTTCTTTGTAATGCTGGAGGACACATACGCAAGCATGGGAGAGAGAAAGCACCTCCCAACAGAGCCTTCGCAGTCCTTTCTCCTCCAATTTTCCATCCCCTGGACCAGAACACATGTGCACCTGGTGTCAAGTCTCTGGAATGGGACCCGAACCCTGACTGGCCCTGTTGGATCTAGCTTCCATCAGACATGCTTAGTTACTGTGCTCAATGTCTTTCTGCATCATGACTAAGGGAGATCCTTTAAGACCTAAAGTCTTTATAATTTTTAGAGTTTAATGAAGGGGAAGGCTTTCTCTGGTACTCAGCCCCAAAGCACTATTAAAGAGCCAGATCTGAACACACATGGCCGTTAACAACTCAATGTCCATGCAGAAATACCAAGATGAGGACCTGCTCAGTTGACATATCCACAGCCATGGGAAACCCAGGACGGTGGTTCGGTTTTATCATCTTCTGGGGAGTGATCTTGAGCAATTACTCACATTTTTGAGCCACAGTTTTATCATCTGTAAAATAAGACGATAATACCACAGTGATGTAGTAAAGATTAAATAAGTTGGGGAAAGGACCCAGTATTGCATCTGGGATCCAATAAATGGATTGAACCTGTTGCATTTAATATTAAATCTATGAATTTATTGAACCTAGGAGTTCAATAAATGCTTTTTTATTTTTATTTTTGTCTCCATTCTTGCTCTGCTTCTAATTGGTTCTGTGCTCTTAGGCAAGGCAACTAACCTCCCTGGGCCTCCTTTTCATGTATGTCTATCTATATATATATATATGTATATCCATGTGTGTGTGTGTGTGTGTGTGTGTGTGTGTGTGTAACACAGCAAGAAAAGTAAGAAATTGGATGAAACTTTTTTTTTAATAATATAAGCAAGCCCTTTTGAATGTTGTACTCTTGCATGAATCCACAATTGGTGTGAATGATGTCTATTGAACTAGTTCCATTGTTTCATAATAATTTGCCCTCTTCTTTTTTTTTAAAAAAAGAGAGATTTTTGCTATAAGGTGCGTGTGCTTTCCATGGAGACAGAGAGACAGAAATCACCCCCTGGGGGAATGACCATACCATAATTCCTTCTCCTCCATTCTCCTCTTGGGATCTTGGTCCTGCATGCACATGCACCCGGCATGAGTTTTAAGTTACTGGGTCCAGGACCATGGTCAACTAGGTGAGAGTCCAGCAATAGAACCATTATATCATCTCCTGGTCCCTGTTCTTCTTATTTCTAATGATCAAAACCCAAGATCCTTTTTGTTTGTTTGTTTGTTTTCTACTTTAAGAGAGAGATTTTTGCTATAGGGGGTGTGTGCTCACCAGAGAGACAGAGAGAGAAAATGAGAAATCATCTCCCCAGGGAATGGCCATGTCACAATCCCTTCTCCTCCTTTTCCTCTCAAGATTTTGGGCATGTGGGCATACGTGCCCAGCGTGAGTTTTAAGCAGCTGGGTTTGGGACTCGAACCATGGTCAAATAGTGGGTGTCCAGTGACATAACCATTACACCATCTGGTGGTCCCCCAAGAACCTCTTAATAACAGGAGCTGACCAGACTACTCCATCAGAAGGATAAAACTGTCTTCAAAAGCCAAGAAACATGATGTTTTTGGTAACTAGTACTTTTTTTTATTTTTTGAGAGGCTTTTGCTATAGGGTGTGTGTATTCGCCAGAAAGACAGAGAGACAGAGAGACAGAAAGCGAGAAATCACCCCCCAGGGGGGCTGGTCATGCCGCAATCCCTTCTCCTCCATTCTCCTCTCGGGATCTTGGGCAAGCACGCACACTCGCTGGAGTGAGTTTAAGCCACTGGGTCCAGGACTCCAACCGTGGTCAACATGGGAGTCCAGTGACAGCCATTACACCAACTGCTGGTCCTGCTAACTGGCACATTTTAATCATAGGTACATGAACAAGTCCATTCACGATTTTGAAATTCTGCAGCAGGACCAGGCCCTGAGCCCGTTACCATGTGGACGATCCCCAAAGCCCCTTCCTGCCCTAAGATTCTGTGACTTTCTAACACGGGAGCAGGAGGAGGTTGTGATCTGGAGCAAGAAGACGGGGCCTCTCTCTGGGCTGCCCCTGCTCTCACTGCCAAGCCCGGGATGCCGCGGAGCCTTTCCCGGCTTACTGGGTGTGGGCATCCAGGCTGTCAGCCTCAATGGATGAGGAACGCCAAGGGAGCCCCTCTCAAAACCATTGCCAGGGATAAGCTGCCGCCTGAATCTTCACTCCCCGCCCTCCCGCTTTTTCTGCCACTGGAAATGTGAGGGTGGTAAAAGACGTGGAGGAGAGGACCGATGGGGTGAGATACGGTGAGAAAGAGTGATTTCAAGACAGCACCACTGACGCCGCTGCTTTCAGGCACAGCCCACGTCACAAAGCAGAAAACCTGCTGGGCTGAGTCACTTCCAATCCAGCGAGCACTCCAGGACCAGCAGCACCTGCCCACCTGAGCCAGTGCTCCCGCATGGCCCAGAACTCATCCTCACTGAGCCTTCTAGAAGCCGAGAACCTGGCGTCTCCTTGGGTCTTTGTTTCCTTCACTGCCTTCTGACGCTTTGGCATTTTTAAAAACACCCCCGTGGGAGCACATTAAGGACAGCAGGTTCACCCTTCGTCCACAGCCAAGTACTCTGTCCCCGTCCTCCCTTCTAAAGGCCGGAAACAGCCCTGGTTGATGTCCGAAGCCTCCAGCCTGTTTGTGCGGTGCCAGGAGGGAAGCTTAGCTCGGCCTGGTGGTTCGTGCTAATTGTCTGAGTGCACTTTAGAAAGCCGCTTTGTGGATCTAAGCATTGAGGGAAGAAAGTGGAGACGGGCGGCTGTGTGAAAGAGCAGTTGATGTTAAATATTCATGCTGTTCATCCAAACCAGTAACCTCGTTGTTTACTGCAGTCTTGCTGGCTCTGTGCTGTGACTGTGCTAAAGAAACTTGGATAGAAAACACGCGCGTGCGCACACACACACACACACACACACACACACACACCCTCCAAGTCTTGGGTGCTTATAGACTTGAAGTGTTTCCAGGTCACATTGTGCAACTCAGCACTGTCTGTTTTCTCTGTGATGTTGAATGAGCTCGAGTAATCCCTTCCGTCAGCATTTTGGAGTCAGTCCCCCTCTTTTTTTCTCCCATCCCCCATGTTGAATTCAGCAAACTTTGTCCTTTCTTTAAAATCATACACTTTCTGAAACTATCCTTAAAGCTCACCACGAAGCTAGCTCACTTTTCAAAATGAAGTTATTTTACAGAACACAGAAGACATGGACTATAATCGAGTGAAATGTGTTAATGATAGCATAGACTGTTTTACTAACAACTTGGAGGTCCTGTTTCCTGAACCTTTAGGAAATTAACATCTAAATTTTTATTTGTTGATTCATTTTTAAAAGCACAGTAGTATAACCCCAGGAACTTTAAAAAATGATCAACTGATTTAAAAGGATAAAGAAAAAAACCCAGCTCTTAATGAAAAGCTTTTGTAGCTATATTTTTTCCAACTTTCCTACAATGTTTTTCCAGTGTAACAAAAAAATAATACAAGTGAATAGTTTTTCACAACCAATGAGCAGTAGCTCAATGGTATGTTTGAGAATTCATCCATTTCGTCCTTACCTGGGTCATCTGTCAGGGAAATGTTGGTGAATGTGCTGTCTTCCTCTTCCTCTTTGCTGGACCCGTCCATCTTGTTCAGTGTGTAGACCTGCTAGTGAGGAAAATGAGGGCAGAGAAGAAGAGTGATCGCCTTGTTAAATCATTAATGAGCGAGCGTATGAGCAGGTGCTACCTGATCCTTGCACCAGACACATGCTTCCTGCTTTCCGCCTGAGAAGTTCTTACCTGAGTGTTGCATTCTCAACCGGAAGTGGTTAGATAGAAAACCAAGTTAAAGAGCGACAACCATTGGCCGGAGGCTATTGAGTTGGCAGCACTACTGTCCCTGGCTAGAAGCCAAACCTTGCCTTCAATCCAACGACAGTTTCCTTGGGCTGTGTTGTCTGAGAAAACTGCCCCCAAGAGTATTGCCTTTTCTGTATCAGCTGGGTACCTTCGTGGGTTTGAAGTAAGAGATTTGTCTATTGCAATTAATAAGCTGATAAAAGAGTTTGAAAACGAGATTCCTGGAGGTTTAGAGAGGGGACAGAGTGTATCTGGCTGACAGGATCTTGAAAAGCTTTAAAAAGGTGGCATTTGCAATGCATGGTCAATGACAAGTAGGGTTCAACAGGCAAAAATGGCCGGGTAGTGTTTCTCAGTCATGGGGCATGGCTGAAAGCTCAGAGATAGGAATGAAGTTGGATGAAGCTGGGAGAAGAAACTGACTATATGGTTAACTTGTCTTGTGGATACCTGTGATACATTCTCAAGGGTTTGATCAATGACAGCATGACCTGGGGGGCGAGTCACCTAAACTCTCAGAGCCTCAATTTCCTATCTGTAAGACGAGGCAGAGTCTGTTGTAAAGAGTAAATGGTATATACCATGAACTTGATCAATGTCAGACGCAGTAACTCCCTCAGAAGACCAGGTAATATATGAAGAAATAAGGTTCCCTATGCATTCAGCTCATCAGTACCCTTTCATATTTCATATGCACCTCACTCTGTTTATTAAAATGTCAGGATCTCCCGTCTGTGTTTCTGGAGTTAAGCCCAAGGTGCTGGCTCTGCAGTTTTTTGGCTAGAGGTCCTTTGTGCAGAAGGAAATATTCTTCTACAACTATTTTTCCTAGCCCTTAATATAAATACACAAACACACAACTGATTTAAAATTTCAAATCATCTTTCTTTTGGGAAAAAAAATATCATCCAAAATTTGATGGAACATTTAAAGCAGATACTAAAATTGAGTGATTGGGACCAGTAGATGGTATAATGGTTATGTCACTGGACTACCATGTAGTCCACCACAGTTCGAGTCCCGGACCCAGCAACTTAAAACTCATGTCAGGCGAATGTGTGTGCATGCTCAGAATGCTGGGAGGAGAATGGAGGAGAAGGGATTGTGGTGTGGCCATGCCCCATTTCTTGCTTTCTGTCTCTCTGTTGCTCCCTGTCTCTCGGGTGAGTGCACATGCCCTATAGCAAAAATCTCCCTCAAAAAAAAAAAAAGGAGTTATTATACGCTACACTCTGCACTCAGTGCTTTGATAACCTCCGATATGTAGGATTTCTCTATTCACTCTTGTTCACTTGCTGACGAAGCGAAATGACTGTGAGCTGTTGGAAATCCGTAATGTTAAATTAAATTCACTAGAATAGAATTCCCGTTACTTTTTCAATTACATCCCACAAATATTGACTGCCTTCTCTGTTTCAGCTGGGTACCTTCATGGGTTTGAAGTAAGAGATTTGTCTATTGCAATTAATAAGCTGATAAAGGTGTTCAAAACCGAGATTCCTGGAGGTTTAGAGAGGGGACAGAGTGTATCTGGCTGACAGGATCTTGAAAAGCTTTAAAAAGGTGGCATTTGCAATGCATGGTCAATGACAAGTAGGGTTCAACAGGCAAAAATGGCCGGGTAGTGTTTCTCAGTCATGGGGCATGGCTGAAAGCTCAGAGATAGGAAGCCACTGGGGACATTTGGGAACCAAGAGTGTCAGATCCACGTAAGTAAGTGGTGGGAGGTAAGGCACAAGGTAGGATAAGCTGTATTACTTCAAGTCCTCTGAGAATCAGGCACCAAGATGGGATGTAAAGGGGAGAGAAAACAGGGAGGGAGGCAGGAAAGGTGGGAGAACCCTTAGACCATGATGCAAGTTTGATTCGGAGCGAAGACGAAGTGGAACAGAAGGTCTAGCTTGTACTTCAGAATTTGGACGTTTTGACAAGGCTGTCTAAGAGGACTCGAGCAAAAGTGGACCATAGAGAAGTCCCACGTCTCCCGGGAATAGCTTTCATTAGCATTCCCGCAGTGCAGTCATTGGCTAGCAGTCAGTGGTGGGAAGCGAGGCCTCGGCGCAAATTTAGTTATGAATTTCAGACTGCAGTAGCTGGCGCTGTTGGTTAATTACACTCCCTGTAGCTTCAGGTCTTCAAGGCCAGGCTCATGGCTACCATATGAGCGGCTTTTTCTAGTAACTCTGTGTGTAATCACAGACCAGTGCTTCAAGAAGCATAAGCATACCTCTCTTGGTTGAGCCAATGTCTGTCAATCCTAGAAACACCGCCATACATTTTAAAAATGCCTATGTGCTAGGTCGCACCCCTACCAGGGAGACACTAATGTTACTCCCGCTTTAGAGATGAGGGTCCTGAGGTGTGGAGAAAGATTAAATCATAAAATGTCATCCAGCTAAGTGAAAGGTGGGACTAAAATTGAACTCTATGCCCTTTGGTGCAGGGTCTATGTTCTTAGCCATTATATTATCTATTCCTAATAAAATTATTGGTGGAGGAGATATTGGAAGAGAAGAGTGTACCACCTGGCAGAAGAATGTATAAAATAAAGGGTGCAATTGGTTTAAATGGTGTATTTGGGTTTTATTTGTTGTCAGTTGTACTTTTTCTTAGGATTACCCTAGGCACTAGATTCTCAGCCCTTTCTCTGACGTCCTTTAAAGACATTTCTTTTCTTTCTTTCTTTTTAATTATTTATTTAATTGTATTTATTATTATTATTATTTTTAATTCACCAGAGAGGGGGAAGGTGAGAAAGCAAGCCGCCATGTCTAAGATTCAAACTGTGGTTGGCCATGCGGGAGTCGAGTGCCTCAACTACCATGCTACCTTCTGGCCCCAAAGACATTCCTTATGAATCACTTATTTTAATGGACAAGGGAATGAAACGAGAGTAAACTCAAGTCATTTGGCTTTGCTACTTTCCACATATTTGCTGGGCACATGTTATAATGGAGAATAGGCTCCCTTTCAAATGGGGTAGAAAGTTATCTGTGGATTTAAATTATCCGTGTGAGTAGGTAGTGCATTCTATTTCCTTCTCTCTCACTCTCTTTTTTTTTTTTTTGGAGAGGTTTTTGCTATAGGACGCGTGCGCTCACCAGAGAGACAGAGAGATAGAAAGCGAGAAATCACCCTCCAGGGGGGATGGCCACGCCACAATCCCTTCTCCTCCATTCTCCTCTCGGGATCTCGGGCATGCATGCACACGCGCCCGGCATGAGTTTAGGCCACCGGGTCCAGGACTCAAACCGCAGTTGACTACATGGGAGTCCAGTGACATAGCCATTATGCTAACTGCTGGTCCCATATTTCCTTCTAATCATTTTTAGCTTTTGCTGTTATAGTTAGGCCATTGCTTCATTTTGATTCGATTTTTGTGTTTGGAATGAGAGGCAGAGGTGCAGATTTGTTATTTTACAGTTAGATGTCCAGTTGTCCCAATATCGTTTGTCGAAGAGTGTGTTTTCCCCCTATGGAATGGTCCTGGCATCCTTGTTGGAAATTAATTGGGCACAAATATTTGGGTTTATTTCTGGGATCTCAGTTCTGTTCAGTTTATCTATATGATTATCATTATGCCAGTCCACACTACTTTGATCCATTAGTTTTGTGATCAATTTTTAATTTGGGTATTTGTAATTCCTTGTAGTTCCTTATGAATTTTAGGGTAGATTTGGGTTTGACAATGGATTCTTAGATTGACATTAAAAGCATAAGGAACAAAATAAAAAAGTAGATAAGCTGGATTTCCCCCAAATTAAAAGCTTTTGTGTTTCAAAGGACATTAACCAGACTATGGAAAGGCAACACACAGAAGAGGAAAAAAACAATTCACATCTCTTCCCTTAGAAGGGTTTATTATCCAGCATATATAAAGAACTCTCAAAATCCAACAAAGAATAAATATCCTAATTTTTGAAGTTGGTAAGAAAATTAAATAGACACTTCTCAGCAAAGATATATACATGGCCAATAAGCGTGTGAAAATATGTTCAACATCACGATCATAAAGAAAATGCAAATCAAAACTACAACGAGGTGCCACTCGGCA